TGCTAAATTAGGGACGGCTAGCGCAGAGAGCCCTCGTGTCGCTTTGCGCAAAATTCAAAACAAATAAAACCAAATTGTTCAAACTACAAGTTTTTCGTCATTGTTGGAAATGCTTCTTAAGAGCAGTATCCATATAACAGGGAACATATACGATCAATCTGGACATGGATGCGCACGAGAGATTATTGGATATATTTTTATAGTTTATTGATCCATTCAGCTAATACTGAATCATTATAAGATATGCTTAAAGCATTCCTGCAAAGTTATCCATCTGTCGTGTCTCACCAAACATTCATCCGAATCTCTTTGCATTATAGTCATAAAAATGGTGAGAGTGTTACGTCACTAAGTGTCTACAATTATAGACACAAAATGGATGGAGGATTTCGTTATCATTAAATAAATACCCGCATCTTTTTTTTCTTTTTTTTTAAAGTGAATTTGAACAACACGAGCCGAATCTGTTAGACGTGTTTACGTCATATGTTTAGAACTTATAGATTTATCCTGTGAAAGTTAGAAGAAAAACAACAATTTGAGCTTCACGTCTCAAAATCGTTCAGACCGAGAAAAATCAAAGGCAACCTTTTCCAAGTCGCCCACCTCTGTAAACATTTCCAATGTATGTTTACCCGCGAACTCACTTTTTTAAGGTATCTTTTGTCTTTACTTCAGATGCGCAACAGTTATATTATGGACTTCATTCCTTTATATAGCAAGATTAACGAACTTGAATCGTATATGAACTTAACATTTAACTACCTGAACTTTAATACTTTTATAGTAATCGTCCTTTCCCGTTAAGCCAAGAAATTTTACACCCGAGTGGCCGAGCGTGTTCCGCGACGACAATTCGAACTCGCGACCCTCAGATTGCGAGTCGAGCGTGCTAACCACCAGGCCTATTCTTGAAGTACTGTATATATATAACGAGCTCTAATCTAATGAACACATTATCATACCGATCTCATGCTCCTAATAGCTAAACAGTACGTCTGCAGGCTTACGACCCTAAAAATTGGGTGTAGATACCCGTGGTGGACAGAACACAGAGAGTCCATTGTATAGGTTTGTGATTAAGAGGCGTTTATAAGTTTTTGTTTTACTTAGTAGTATATTTTTATTCAGTGATGTATGAGTACCTCAATGTATGAGTGCCTCAATGTATGAGTGCCTCAATGAATGAGTGCCTCAATGTACGAGTACCTCAATGAATGAGTGCCTCAATGTATGAGTACCTCAATGAATGAATGCCTCAATGTACAAGTACCTCAATGAATGAATGCCTCAATGTACGAGTACCTCAATGAATGAGTACCTCAATGTATGAGTACCTCAATGTATGAGTGCCTCAATGTATGAGTGCCTCAATGTACGAGTACCTCAATGTATGAGTGTCTCAATGTATGAGTGCCTCAATGTATGAGTACCTCAATGTACGAGTGCCTCAATGTATGAGTACCTATTTTCTTTATTTTAGGATTCGAGGTTTGGTGTATTAGGAAAACGACATCTTACTAGAATCTACCGACGGAATGATCCAAGATTTTGTCGACAGATCTTACCGTCGACTTCCTCCCGAGAAAGATGAACCTGTCTGTGCTTTTAGTGACTTGATTCGTGGTGTAAACATTAATTCAACACCGCACACTCAAGATGACCGTTTGTACGAGACCGCTAATGGAGAAAAGGACGAGAAGAATTTCATGACGAACTGCCTCGACGACGATAGTAATTCTATAAGAACGTTTTTCGTGACAAATTGTTCAAATACGAAAACCCTGGACACGCGAAGTGAAGTTACGCAGATTTCTGAGTGCCTTGAAAGACATCCATTTGTTTTATTAACTCCTTTGAACACTCGGCAATACCAAACGTATTTTAATAAGCCTTTTTTGAAAAGGGAAAAGATTAGTGATAGTGTAAATATTTACACGCCCTCTATGGCCAAGGTGCTGTTATTTGAAAATGTAACGAAAGATACTCAAACGGTTGAAATGGAAACGATTTCAACAGGTGTTTCGGACGTAAAATATACGAACCAAACTTGTTCACCAGCACCAACTTCAACAGACAGTGACCAGACTCTGCCTTTAGTTATTGCAGACGTACGAGGTGACGCCAAAGATGTGTTTAATGAAGACATTCCGATTAAGTACAATTACTCTGAGAACTCAAATCCTTTTGACTCAAGCCTTGTTGGCAACAGTGTTGTTCAATCTTTTTATACATTATTAGAAGCAACAGAAAGCACAGTTTTTCGAAGTTCGTCTCCAACCAAAATGAGTATTGCAAGACTAACTTCATCAGTAGGTGATGATGTAACTGGGTCAGAAGATTTTGTCCATGAAGGTACAGCGCCAGAGGGAGACGTATGCGATGATGATGATGTTTTCACAGATTCGTTTGAGGAGACTGCTCTAACCAACGGTAATAAACGTGAGCATGTTGGAGAAGAGAAGTCCACAGTTACAACCAGTTCGGAGTTAAGCAGCCAGAAGTGTAATGACGATCCCTCAGTAAGTTCCAACCATAACTTGTTTGAAACAGTTAACCAGAGGCATTTGAAAAAAAGGCGAAAATGTCAGCGCGTGGTGAGTTACTCTGACGATTCTTTGATTGATTCTATACTGGACAGCATGGAAAAACAGGACAAAAAGGAACTGAAAAAGCATTCTAGGCTAGTGTCGCCACTTATGAAAAAAATACGAAAGAAAACAAAATTGTGCTCTGAACATCGATGCATATCAGATTCAAGTGTTCCCCGTTCGCAAAATTCTGATTTTGAAAACAGCGCCAAAAAAGTATCAATCGATAGTACTTTAAAGTCTCCAAGAGTAGATGCCATCAAGCAAGAAACTGTTCATCCCATAAAGATCTGTTTGTATGGACGAAAATCTGAAGTAAAACAGGTTAGAACTCGAAGAAAGAACAAAAGTGATAAAAATATTTCGGAATCTGTTAAGGCGTCAGCCAGAGACGTAAAGCCTCAGAGAAAGAGCACAACGAAAAAATCTCAAATGTCTTCGGTGTTTGCTAAGTTGGAAAAAGAACTTGGCGTTGGTTCATATGCAGCATCCTCAAACCTGGTGAATCAACAAGTCAAAGAAGAAGATACGACAGCAGTGAAGATGGAGTCTAAACCCAGCTCCTATCTCCAAGAAACTAAACCCGAGGCATCATCATTAGGACCCTCAAAGCCAAATAAAACAAAGGTTAGTCCAGGTAGTGTTTCTGAACCCATCCAGAGACCTTTACAAAGTTATCCAAAGGAAGAAAAGCACCGCAAGAGAAGAAAACTGTCCCCTCCTTATTCTTCTTCTCCAGGTCAGTTATTTCTTCGCGATAAAAATATTGTATAAACCAAAGAAAAAAGATCGCATGTTTATAATTAATAAGAAAACAACAATTCTATTTGCGATTTTAACACTGCTTTTCGACTGCTGAAATGCCCGTTAATTCACGGGGAATGTATAAATTTAATTAAAACAATGTAAGTTTAACAGCAGTCATAGATTTCAAAGGAATAACTTGAACATAAATTTTATCTCAACATTTTAAAATTTTAACAAAGCTTCTTCACAAACAACATTTACAGTTTACTTTCAATCTACCAACAAATAAAGATTTTGAGGTGATCCCACCCTTGAAAACCCTACATCTCATTGACCATGAGAAAAGCATGGTTGTTTGAGAAACAATCCAACAACTTTCATACTTTGACCTTGAATCCCTTTAGAATATTCAACATTGTCTAAAGCATCAACTTACCAAGATTGTTTGAGATTGACTCAATAGGCTGGAGGTAATTAACCAACAGGCTTTATAAAATAGGAATAGGGTTTAGTTCAATTTTGCCCCCCCCCCTTAGAGCATTCCTCATAGTTCATAGTACAAATTTTGGTTGAGATTGGCCTAATAGGCTCGGAGGAGTTAGGGTGCAAACAAACCCACATTTCGTCTTTATATAAATAGATACGTTTATTCACTAATGTGCAACAGCATATACACTTTGACGAAACATCAAGACCTGTTACAGTTTTGCTAGTTGAAAATATAAAGCCAGAATTAAATCGAAACAGGGTTATCATGCTTTTGAACGTAAACCAGTTTATATTAATATATTACTAATATTATCGTATATTTTCATTAGTAAAGATGAAACCTGCAGTGGGTTATGCGTTTCGCGGAAGCACACAAATATAGACATTGCGTTTGGATTAGATAAGTTTATGTACATTGCTATTTAGAACATGTAACATTAAAACCTTAAAATGACAGTGTTGTTCAACTACTATTGTTGTGTGAATGATAAATCAACAGTATCTACACAGCACTATTAACTGAGTATCAATAACTATCTTTATTGCAACAGTACTTTTTTAAACAGAGGATTTCAAGAATAATACAAAAGAATTCTAATCGCAGACACTGAAATATATAAATCCACTTGTCTTAGTCTTAACATTAGTTAAGCCTGTATTAGGGGTGACCTATAAATTAACACTGTAACTTGTCTACATTTTTTGCTTTAGTTCAGTTAGGGCTAAATCTTACCGCACTTAATGCTATCAATAAATAATCTTCTAATATTTTTCTACGACGTAACGTTAGACCTTTTTAGAAACTTCGATGAGTTTTTAATATGTTGTATAAAATGTCTAATAAAGTATATTTACGTCCTTTCTGGTTTTCAAATTGCGCAAAAGGTGAGATTTTATGAACATTTTAGTACAAATATATCTTTAACTTTCGATCAATCGTTGACTACTCGCTTCTAATTGACAGGAAGGCAAATTACTTAAATTACGTAATAAGTTGCTATGACATCAGTGTGTGTGACCGAGAGACAGATACACACTGTGTTTTATAGTATTAGATCATAGTTTAACTCTGAACTCTGTGTAAATATTGAGTTTCTCATGAAGCCGCTAAGCGAAATGTTGGACAATAATAAATGAAAAAAAAAACAATATTCTGCAGAGTAATTTAAAGATTTTTGTGTCCTTTAAGCCTATAGTATACCTGTTAAAACATTGTTATATGGACAATCTTCGTCTCTTTCGTTCTCAAATTTGACTACGGTTGCTTGAGTTGCATCCAGTATGTTCTCTTCCCTCCACCTGACACACTTCACCTTTATAAGGGGAAAGTTAGTGCTGTTACTCCTGGAATAGAACCATGAAATATTTACAGAAGAATGTTGGTGTTAAAGAAAACAAGTGTTTGCAAACTGAAACAATATGCCCATAAATATTGAAAACAATTACCAAACGGAAAAAAATCATAATATTTGTTAGCCAATAAAGGATTAGCTAGAAAGAAAAGTTAGGTCAAATTTCCACAGAGTTCAAGGAGAGGAATACGTCAGTACTGGCTGACTCATAAAACAACAACAACAACAAAAACTGTATCAACAGCATGCTAGTCTTCTTGATCCCGGAGCTGGTCGTGTAACCATAGTTTGAACGGAACACATTGGCAATTGATATTAACTTCAATCAGAACAAGCCATCTGTTAGGTTCTTAAGTCGTTGTCAGTTTATAAAGTAAAGTTATTTAATTTTAGAATAATTTGATTATTTTTTCGAACAATTAAAACTTTAAACATTCCTAACAAGATAAAACATATTGTTCTTCGAAACTCAAAATGCTGGTAAATAATCTAATTAACTCAAATGTGGTCCCTGGTGGCTCAACGTTAAGTCTGAGAGCTCATGACATTAAAAATCTGGCTTCGATACCCGTGGTGAACGGATCCCATTGTGTAGCTTTGCGCCTAACAACAAGCAGTAGCACAAGTGTTTCCCGATATTTATTTCAATAAACAAAATTTTTTGTTTTTCATAACAAACTTAAGGTTCCTGTACTGAAGCCGAATAAAGATAATATAATATAGCAAAGAGTTTATTTAACTAATCAATATATAAGAGTAACGTAAAGGTAACTTCAAGACTTCAAACCCAACACAGTTTATTAGAGTGCGATATTTGTCACTAAAGCAATAAACACATAACACTTAAGGGTAACTTCAAGACTTCAAACTCGGCACAGTTTACTAGAATGAGATATTTATCACTAAATGC